AGTGCAAAATACTGGACTTCTTCTTTAAGGGTGTGGCTGCATGAGTGACAGGCTCTCTGTTAGGCGTCGCTCCAGTGTATGAGTTAGATCCACTCTCTTGGCCAAATATGGTCACTTCTGGCTCCAAAAAACCCCCAAAAAACAAAAAAACCCCACAAGATGGCAAAAGCTAATATGCCGAACTCGGGCATAATGACAGTTCACAAACCAGTGGGTGATGTCACAGTAGCTACGTCAGTTTATACAGTCTATGAGCCTAATGAACACTTCTTTACTGAGCTTCCAGCAGTGATTATGGCCTAAATATCAATATAATAATTAACTGGAGACAAAACTTTTTCATAAAAATATCATCATAATCATAAACCATTTAATATAAAAACAACTCATTGCAATTAGTTGAGAAATAATAAAGTTATAATGCTTCTTACCCAGGAAAAACTGCAGCTTCCCTGTTTACTGTCATTTATTGTCATCAGGCAAGTCATGCCCTCTCCAATATGACAGCGCTGCTGACAAATTGATGCAAGGGGCTGACACAGTCAATGCAGCTTCTATGCATATATGTCTTTCGATTGGCAGCTGTTTGCAGTGTACTCAAGGATGTGCAGATAACTATCACTGGATTACTCTGATACCAGAGAAAACATCTGTTGCAGTTCTGCAGCTTTTGTTTTTTCTGGTTTTGTAGTGGATATATGGATGCTTATTTTGGATGGATATCAGAGCTACTCGGAAAGTGTAAATCACACCGAATGAGATCAATGTGTATTTCATGTCTGTGTTCACTTTTCACTGAGTTACAAAGAAGAGGAGGAGGGAGAGTTTTGAATCACCTCCTGCATTATCTCTGCCTCCCCTTCAACTCTGCGACGCCCATGGGGAGGCTTTTATCTTTCTCTTTTGTCTTTGTCCTGCTGAACAACCACATCCTTTACAGACCATAATATCCTGTAATGTTACCATGGTTACAATGTCCTGAAAGATGAGTTAAATTAAGAGGAGCATAGTAGATTTACACCCACAGAGGGTCCTGAATCCTGAGATCAGAAACCACAGGTCCAATCTATGGATACAGATATGACAGGCTCACATTCATGTCACGCACCAGCTATCCATTGTGGTTGTGTTAGTCTCCCATAGGTGGAACAGCAGTTAAAATGCCTAAAACTTTAAAAATCACCTAGCCTCTGGATGTGTTTTGCATCTCTTCAGACACATTTCCCCAAAACTCAGATTCATCTTTGGAGGCTTTGATATCTGCACTAGAATTTAAAAAGGAATTCTGCAGATTTGAATGATGCTTGGATATACAACACAGAGTGAGTTTGTGACCCACCTGTGGGTCTGGCAGATTCTCTACATTTTTAGAATACTGATAAGAACATCCAGCTGATGGTCGGCTTTGTGCCAAACTGGTAGAATCTGAAGAAAGGATTCATGGTGTCGAGCTCTCTGTGGTCATTTGTCTTGTATTCCTCAGAGCTGAGGTGAGCTGGCTGCGGACATGCCACAGAGCTGCCGATCGGTTGCGTGGTGAGACGCCCGGTGTTTCAGACATCAGCTGGCACTGAAAACACCAGTTACTTAGCAACGGCTGGGCTGGCAGGACGACAGAGAGTCGCTGGAAACCGGCTCGTCTTGTCTCTGCAGTTACAGCGATTCAACACAGCCTTGTTCGCTCCTCTGTGTTCCTGCATTCAACTCTCCTGGGCCCCCCTGTCCTCCTCCTCCTCCTCCTCCTCCTCCTCCTCCTTCTCCTTCTCCTCCTCCTCGCTCAGAAAAACACCTCATTGTTACCTGTTTCCTCAGTGAGCTTCACCAAGCATCACAAGTTCTCTGAATAAGTTCTTAAAGTCTGATGATAGAAGTTAACTTGTCCATTTTTGTCAAAAGAGAACAAAAAGTTAAAAAGAAATAAAAAATGTTCTCCTCTTGTGAGAGACAGCAACCCCAACACACTGCCTGGCAGACAGTTTGACAGATGTATAGAATTCATAGAAATCCTTCCTCAGCCTTCAGCAATGTTGTATTGACTTCATGCTCTCGCTGCATTGCTTCTGAATCCTGCAGTGCTGCTGTCAGAGAGCTGCAGAGTGGAGTGACTTCTACAACATTCAAGATCTGGGCAAAAATTACAGCTACAGGCAGGAGGCTAACCTCCATGTCCTCAGACAGGTGGATCCTCAAACCAAAGACAGTTGAAATTATCCCATATTTTGGCTTCTTGTTGTTTCTTTCTTCGATTTGACTCATGATTTGGTCTGCTGAGGTAATTTCACAAATTAAAACAAACAGCATACTGGCAGAGGAGCTCTGTGTGACTCAAATTTATCTGCTATTTCTGACAACAATCATTAGTGAAACACAATGATGTCACTATTTGCGATTAACTGTTCATTTGTAACGAGTAATTGCTGTTAAATTTCTTCATTTAAAATGATACAAGCACTGTTTATTATTATTATGTGTTTTTTTTGCCCAGATGTCTGCCTGCCAGGCAGACTGAAGTGACAATCAGACAGGAAGCAGAAAAAACATGTGGCGCACTTTTTCCCCAAACAGTTGCTTTCCCAGGGCAGGTTGTGCCCTTTGTGCCAGGGGGCAATGTCTAATTGTGATAATTAAATTTGATTTAAATAATGGCCGACTGTGTGGCTGTAAAAAATTCAAACTGAGCAGCCACTTGAATGTTTTACTGGCCATCGAGGCTCACGGGTTACAAATGAGGTAGGACACTGTAGTCAAGTCAGATTCCTAATCTTTGAATCCAAATTGAATCTTTTTGGGATTAAATGTAGCAACATCAGGCTAACTTTACTGATAACCACATATGTTTAATGGCTTTTAAAGACAACATTTAGGATATTAAATGTTGCCTGTGTTGATGATTCATTGATTTTATATTCTGAGTGATGAGATCCTACATACACACAAATTAGTTTGCCTGCATTCGTTTTCAGTGATTCAGAGAGATTTTCAGAGAGATTTGGTTTTCTTTGAGCTTTTTTTGTTAGTTTGAAGGGAGCTGAGCTCAGACAGAAGATGATGATGTTAAATATCTCAGTGCACCAATCAGGATTTCATAACATTTGTGAGGGTGCGGTCACACATGAGCGGACTGGTGAGTGACTATCACCCGCTGAGGTGATAATCATAGTCCCTTTTACACTGCCTGCTCAAGGAGGGAATATTGTGTTATGCCGCCTCGCCACTCTGTATATAAGGTATGACCGTAGAATGGGGGACAGAGTTGTCTTACCTTTGAACTGGGAATGGAGTCAGTAACAGTTATCATGACATCAGTCAATTCATCTATAACTTTTGTTTTTGTGTTTTTTCTCTCTTTTTTGACAAATGAATTGTACTCAAACAACGAGCAAAAGGAGGTGGAGAGTCTGTAACCACAACTGTACAAAAAGAGCATTTACACTTAATGGACAGTGAAAAGACAACCAGATGGCATTTGGGGATGGAGACAAAGCGAGAACGGAAAGAAACAGAAATAATTTTTGAGACACTGGATTATTTCTACAAAATAATCATATTGTATGTATTCATAACATGTTATGAATATTTCATTTTTAAATATCACCATTATCATCAATACATGAATATTGCAATATCCCTGAATGGAAATGAACAGGAGGAGAATATTCACCGAGTTCATTTCATGCATGTGTGACCGTGCCCTGTTGTGTCTCATTCTGTGATTTTTTTGTTTTTCGTTTTCATTGATCAGAGCAGGGTTACTGTACCCTGGAAATCCAGAGTTCTTGCGAGAGCACAATTTGAATTTGCTCAGCGAGTCACTCTGGCAATCAGTAATGATGCTCATTACCCATGCCCTTGTAGCTGAGCTGCACCAATCACATCGGTGTATCTGATATAGACAGGCCAGAGGCAAGCTAAACAGATGACGACAGCGCTGCGACGACGAAGTCCGGAATCAGTCAGTAAAAATTGAAAGATGGCTACGGATGAACACCAGTTGTTTGAAACAGCTTTGGCCGCTACAATGAACGAGTTAGACTTGGCTTTTTCTCTAAAAGAGGAACAGAAGACGGCGCTCGAGTCTTTCCTTTGCAAGAAGGACGTTTTTGCTGTTTTGCCGACCAGATACGGCAAGAGTCTAATCTACCAGTTAGCTCCGCTGGTAGCTAAGCTCTGGATACGTCACCCCGTGTATTGTTCTGATTGGTCGTAGTGTTATCCAATTGCGTGCAGTGATATTTTCAAATGCATGCTTGGTGCCGCCGCTTGAGTTGGGCCATTTTCATTACTCATAGCCAGACCCTAAATCTTTCTAGATTTGGGTCTGGATTTCCAGGCTAGGGTTCCTGGCTATGGTCTGATCTATTTGAAGAATGTGTGTTTTCAGGAGTACAGATACAGAGTACAGAGGTTTTATTATTTATTTCTTTTCCTAGAAAAAAGAAGTCATTTACACTAAAAAATGCTTAAGTCGGTGGCTTAATGGATTAGTGGATAGAGCAGGCGCCCCATGTACAAGGCTGTTGCCACAGCGGCCTGGGCTCAAGTCCAGCCTGTGGCCCTTTGCTGCATGTCATCCCCCCTCTCTCTCCCTCCCCCTCTCACACTTGGCTGTCCTGTCCATTAAAGGCAAAATGCCCAAAAAAAAACATCTAAAAAAAAAAAAAACAAATGCTGAAGTCAGTGGTATTAAAGTCAAGTTGCAAGTCTTGTCTGATTTTGTCAAGTTTAGTTTAAGGTTGTAAGTGCGGCATCACTTCCGGGAAAGTAAGCCATCAAGGCTAACATGTTTCCAAAGTCTACCAGATTTTTATGTGACTACTAATGTCAAACAGTAGTTGCCATTACACAGAAAAAAAGTGGATACTTGGGAAGAAAAACTTCTGACTAAGAAGCTGAATAATAAACCAAATGTCCCTTCATTTTTATTTGGGGACTAATAACCCATCCTGCTGTCAGTTGGTCTGGTCAGTCGCCTGCATAACACCATAGTAACCACTTGAAGGGAAATGTGCGCTCATGTCTCTGCTTTACTCGCTCAGTGTGATTGTCGCCTCAGTTAAACCTGTTGATGGTCAGGGTTGCTGCCTCTCAGGCTGCCTGTCAGGAAATCCGGTAGTCAAAGGTGTCCTTCTCCATGTAGTCCGTCCAGGTGGAGGACGGCATGCTCCGGTACGGGTCCAGAAGGATCCGGAAACAGCGAACGATCAGCAGGCCCAAGAAGATAAAGAGGATGAGGACGAAGACGAAGGCCGCCCTCTGCTCAAGTGTGAGGAAGGACGTGGACGCTGAGGAGGAGGAGGAGGAGGAGGAGGAGGAGAAGTCTGATTCAGAGGCAGAGAAGGTGCTGCTGTAGATGTCATCAGCCATGTTGGGATGGACAGTTGGTTTAGATGATCTTCCTCTGTCCAGTGAGAGAGCATCCACAGGAGAACATTGTTTTTGTAGAAGAAGAGGGAGAGGAGATGCCTGCAGAGAAAACAAACAGAAACTGGATTTAGACACATGAATGCGAGAAATTAAAGTTCAGTAAGGACCACTTAAGTCAAAGAAAACTTTATTTCCATTTGCAGTATTGTATTTGGTGGTATGGCTCTGTTCTGGGGCCTCTCTGCCTTTCCTTGGGTCTACGAAGGAAAAGCAGAGAGAGCACACCCCTCTGCCTTTCCACACACATACATGGAAAGCCTAAAGGTGGATTTTTACTTGTGTGTCTAGAGCCTACGCATGTGGCTTACGTGGTTATGAGCATTTATACTTGTACGGTGGTGTGTCTGTGTCACTCTGCAGTTACACCTCCAAAACACGAGTCGGCAGTGGGGTTTCTGTGAAGTGCTGTACAGTTAGTTGATTCAAAACACACCCAAAAGACACATTAAACATGGCTTAACAGAGACAATTTCAAACACAAGTACACAAATCAGCTTAATTATATATTGCAGGATTCAGAGGCAAACCACTTTCTTTTGCTGGACACATTCTCCCCACAAATACAACATGCTAATGTTATTAGCACAAGCCAATGGCATTTTACATTATATAGATTAGCCTAGCGGCTATCGGAGATTTCCTCTACTCATATGAAGCCAGAGACAACAGCAACATTTAACAAAGATAACATTACAAATTTTGGCTCCATTACAACTCAAGAGGCTCACCGACAAAATAACTGTCTTATACTAAACATATTTTCTGAACAAATACAACATGCTAACATTATTAGCACGAGCCCTTGGCATTTTACATTGTTTAAGCCCAGCAACTAGAAAAGATTTCCTCTACTCACATGAAACCAGGATAAATTACAAAGTCTTAAAATGTTATTTTGTGGGGGCTTTACTGTTTTAACAGTTTATTGTTTCTTATCTGTGAAATAAAAGTAAATAAAAGCTTTGTTTCCACTGAAAGAAATGGTTTTCATCTTACAAAAATAGACAGGAGGCCTACGTCATTACAACATGTAGTTACATTTCTGGGGAGGTGCACATAGACGCAGAGCCTACGCCATAGGTACAGTGTCGATTTGATGCAGAAGGATAAATCCCACTCAAGATTGAGAGAGCAAACCTCCCTGCCCTTCCAGGCCATATGTGGAAAGCCTTAAGACAGAGAGATAACACCTCTCTGCCCTTCCATGTGCCGACACATGGGAGAGCGGCAGCAAAGACCCCCTGGGAACAGAACAGGGCATCAGTGACAAATGAAATGACACTGATAAGTCAGACACAATATAAAAAGAAGGAGCTGGGGTGGAGGTGGGTTGCAAAGCTGCTTGCAGAGGAAGCAGCAACAGTAGACAGGCCAAAGCAGTTTAAATAGGGCCCCCTGAATCCAATTTGCTGATTGGTTACGTAAAAAGGACTGATAAAGAATAAAATCCAAACCGTTTGAGTAATGACAAAATTATTCAGAGGATCTTTTCAGCAGGGGTTGGCCTGTGATGTGTGCGAGTTTGAAGCTAATAAGATAAACAGTGGGCCATATTAGTGTGTCTAGGTGGCATGAAGACATTCAGGAGATTTCGTGGCACGTCACATTTAAGAACCCATAAAATCCAAACCGTTCGAGTAATGACAAAGTTATTCAGAGGATCTGTTCAGCAGGGGTTGAGCTGTCATGTGTGAGAGTTTGTCTTTTCCCTTCTAGGGATTTAGTCCGATCGTCTTCAAATTTGGTACAGATCATCTAGAGGCCATGCTGATCAAAAGTTATTAAAACAATTTTAGTAGGTCAAAGGGCATGGCTGCTAGGGCGTGACAAATTTTGGCGACTTTTTGTTTTCTCTCCATCGAATTTCGAACGGCTCTCACGCCCACATACTTGATCCTAGCAGCTTCAAACTTGCTGGACATGATGATGGCTCTGCCCTAAACTCCCCAATATGTTAATATCCCACCTTACTCATAGCGCCCCCCGGGGGTAACAAGAAATGACCAGTTTTTACTTTAACAAGTACTGATGCCACAAACTTGACCCCATCAACTTCATTCCACTTCTAATGCATGTAGAACAAGTTGGTGAAGCTACCTTATGAATACTGTGAAGCATCTAATGGCGTCCGTGTGGCGACATGGCGACTATTAATCCCTCGCCACCAAATACGTTTGGCTTTTTGATGGCTTCAACGACCTCATATCCTCATGAAAATTGATACACAGGTCAAGAATGGAGAGCTCTTACATCTGATAGGAGCGTCGCCCATGGGGGGCACAAAATGCTTCTAAAGCACCCCCTTGAAATTTTCAAAAAACCCTTCCCATAGGGTTTTTTTTTTTTTGTAGGAAGATGAAAATTTGTACATATGTGTAAGTTGCCAAGACGCACAAAAAAGTCTTCCACAGATTTTGTCCAATCAACTTCAGATTTGGTACAGATCATCCTGAGACCATGCTGATCAAAAGGTATTAAAAGCTTTTCAGTATGTATAGGGGCGTGGCCGCTATGGTGCTGCCATATTTGATGCATCGCCATGCATATTCGAGGAACTCTCTCTCCTACATACTTCATCCTAACTGCTTCAAAATGTCTGTACATGACAAGAGCCCCACCCTGCACGCCTCCTATTCTTATACTCACTCTAACTCATAGCGCCCCCTTGTGGAAGCAGGAAATGCCATATTTTTATATTGATGAACACAAACTCTATACTCAACTACATTTTGTGGCTACATCCTACCCTGTTTGTCTCAAGATTTCTCGAGCTCAGACAGACCGTGCATTTGCCTAAACGCTTCATAGAGAAGACTTCAAACAAAGACAAAAACGTAAAGAACGTCTAAACGTTACCTACCATGGATCCGGTACTGCAGATCTACCCAACCGATTCAGACGGCGATCCATTCGACGATCTGTTTGACACCGGTCCACCAGACTTGCAGCAGCAACCAGACCGCAGCCAAACACGCTGGCATAGAAGCTTGCGTTCAGTGGTCAGTGTACCTCAGTCCCGGCGTCTCCATTCAAGCTCCGCCAATGAGATCTCTCCAACTCTGACTCAGACCTCCTCTCCTCCTTCAGCGAAGACCAGACACCGCAGGCACGGGCTTAGGAGCCAGCTCCAACCCTCTCCTCATCGGCAGCTGACCCCATCACCTACGCTTCCAGCTCCTGGCTCTTCACCACAGTGCACCTGCGGTGCGCCCTCATCTGCAAGTTGGCAGTCTCCGCGTCCTCAAACTGAGCCCAATATCAGAGACTGGATCGTCACTCGCCTACAACGTTTCCTGCGGAGCGAGGGCATCCCATTTCACTGCAACACTAACAAAGCCACACTATTTCGACTGTATTCAGCCTCTATCAACACAGCAACAGACTCCATACTTCCCGCTCTTCTGGCTTCCTCACCCATGCCACCAACTGCCGGTGTCATCAGGCGTGACGTCGCTGCCTCAGCCACAGCCTGCATCATCAGCCCCCTCTGGTGGGGGCCAGGTTGTATGTCCCCCTGTGCCTGCTTCCTCTGTTCCTGAATTCTCTCAGATGATTTCAGCTTTCTTGTCATCCCTGTCTTTGCAGGCTTCACAAAATCCCTGTGCACATTCATCCTTTCATCCCATCATCCCTTCCTCTACCCTTCCTTTAGCCATTCCCAGCAACACGGCTTCTGCTCCTCTTTTTCCTGCAATAGCCAACGCAGCAGCAGGAGAGCCTCAGTCAGCAACTCAAGGGGTCCCACCACAGGCTAACCAATTCGGTGATCTCCAGCCTCCTCCTTCACTTCCAACTGGTCTATCCTTTCCCCCTCCCCTCCCCATCCCCACCCCATCCCTTCCCCAACACCCAAATGTATTTTCTCATTGTACCGGCAATTTCACCCTCGCCACAGCAGCACCACCTGTCCAGCCAGCTTCATCTGTTCATTGCCCTTCTCCCGTCTCTCCTGCGCTACGCCAACAGATTCTCACTGGTAATTACGTAGATTTAGCCCAGCTTCTTAAGCCATCAGTCATCGACACTAATCACCTCAGGGAAGTGCAGACAAACTTCAGCTCCATGCAACTCTGCCACTCACTACCCTCACAGCCTACAGACCTAACCCCCACAGAATTTGCCTTCGCTTTTTCTCTCTACCGCACTGTCATCTGTTCTGCATTTCACACATGGAGAGCAGAGCTGGATGATTATCTATCTATCATGCTCGACATGGCCCTACGTTTTGGAGGGACAGGGTTTTACAGTTACCATGTGCACTTCGCTAACCAAGCAGCTGGCCGGATACAGCAATTTAACCAGGGAACGTACTGGGGCACCCTTGACTCTGAACTCTACTGCTGCTTATTTGCAGCCCGCACGTCCCTCTCCTGCGAGCTATGTGGAGCCCCTTCTCACCCTGCTGCACCCCCACCTCCCATCATTCCTAGACCCGCTAACATACGTCCTGTGGTCAATGTCCCCATGCCAAAGGGGGTCGACAGACGGAGAAGGCCAATCCTCTACCAGGGTGGCAGGATGGTGTGCAACAATTTCAACCACCTGGGCTGCGCTCTTTCCAACTGCTGCCTCCTGCATGTCTGCTCCTTCTGCGGCGGTGCCAGGAGCACCTGCCCCCACAATCCAATCACAGCTGCAGACCAACTTGTACAGCACCTCAGCAGCTCCGTTCAAGTAAATGTCCTTGCCACTGCTCTACAAAACCACCCTGATAGACAGTTTGTTCATTTTCTTAAAGATGGCTTCACACATGGTTTTCATCGTGGTATGGCAGTTCTCCCTGACATTTTCCACGTCTGTCACAACCTCCAGTCTGCTCTTGCAGAACCTCACACTGTTGGCTGAAAAGGTCAAAGAAGGATTCATGATAGGCCCGTTCGATATTCCTCCTTTTCCACTGTTCCGCATCAGCCCAATAGGTGTTGCCACTCGCAAATACTCTGGAAAAAAAGAGGCTAATTATGGACCTGTCTTCTCCACACAGCTCACACATTTCAAGCATCAACAGTGTCATTCCCAGTCCG